AAAAAGGGTCTATTTGTTGAACCATCCTTACATGTTGTAAGAGATAGTAAGATCCTTTTCTTCCTGGCCAACACTTCTGGTCACAGTTTTTCGCCTCAGAGCAAATACCAATCTTGTTGACCTTGTTCACTATCCTTACCCTGTTCAGGTAGAGGATGAGTTTTTCACCTGACCAGTGGGTCGGTGCTATTTCTGCGGGGAGACCTCATCCACTTCACTGGATCAATCTGTTCCACCAGTTGAGGAGAAAGACTTAGCTCCCACTGCCCTTCCCAAAATGAAGTCAAGCTTTGTTGACTCTGTTGAACAAACGTCGTACAGCCATTGCCTTACCAGGTGAGAAGATGGGTAAAACGAACTTATTGTCCCATCGTATTCCACTTGAACCGGGTACTAGACCTATCTACATACCTGCGTACAGAATGCCTCATTCAAAAGTTGCTGTCGCAGAAGAATTGATCAATCAATGCTTGATGAGGGATTATTGCACCTAGCAATTCACCTTGGAATGCACCCTTGATACTAGTACCTAAGAAGGATGGTACTTGGCCCCCCAGTGATTGACTTTAGGAAGTTAAATGCGAAAACCATTCCAGACGTTTCCCCACTTCCTGTACTGGGTGATCTTTTACGTAACATCGGAGATAACAAAGTCTTTTCAACCCTGGATTTGTTACAAGGGTTTTGGCAAGTCCCTCTTCACGAGGACAGCCAAGAGCTAACTGCATTCTCCACTCCACAGGTCATTATCACTTCCTCCGTATGGCGTTTGGATTACGATCTTCCCCTATCACTTTCCCAAAGGGCTCATGACTAATATCTTTAGAGGTCTCATAGGTAATGCACTTATGGTGACTTAGATGACGTAATCGTCATGTCTAAAGACGTGGATACACACTTGAAAAGATTTGATGTAGTATTGGTAAGCTTGAAGAAGCCAATTTAAAGATCAAACAGTCTAAAAGTCAATTTTTCAGATCAGAAATTAAGTTTCTTGGTCACGTAGTCACTCCTAGAGGGGTTTTCGACTGACCAAGTAAAGTAACCCGCAGTACTAAATTTTCCAACTCCCAAAAATGCTGATGCCGTAAGATCCTTTGTGGGCTTAGGTTTTTATTTGATCTTTCATTGCCAATTTTTCTTCCATAGCTGCTCCTCTAACTGAGTTGCTTAAGAAAAAATGCTCCTTTTTTTTGGACCTTCCGTCAAAGAAAGAGCATTCCAAACTCTAAAAGAAAAGCTAACATCTGCTCCAATTTGGGGGAAATTTTCCCGATTTTTCTAAGCCCTTCTATTGACAACTGATGCTAGTTCAATTGGCATAGGTGCCGTACTAGCTCAGAAGACCGATGGCAAGTACAACGCAGTTGCATTTGCTAGCCCCAGTCCTTACAAGGCTGAACGTAATTATACAGTAACTGAGCAAGAAGCTTTAGCAATAGTATGGTCTTTAAAAACACTTCCGAGACATTATTTATCATACTCTGTTCATGTCTTGACAGACCATGCTCCACTGATACCCTTATTCCAGAACAAACAACCTACTGGAAGGTTAGCCCGATGGACCTTTACTATCAAGAGTTCAATCCCACCTTTGGCATTTACCTGGCAAGTCAAATGTAGTCGCAGATGCCTTATCACGACATGTTAGTATAGTAACTGCAGACCCTCCATTTAGTGCTGAAAATGTAAAGAATGCTCAACGAAACAGATCCCATGTGGTCTGGTGTGATTCGATTCCTGCTCCAGGAAGATCTTATTCTAACTGTGAAGCCACCAGCACCCATCAGTGACTTTGTCATGAACCAAGAATTACTGTATCGAACAGCCGAGTTGGGTACTCCTACAGAAGAGTATACCAGTTAGTAATTCCACAGTCAACTAGTGAATGTAGCCTTACAGCTAGTTCACGATGTACCAGGTGTTGCACACCCTGGTATGGATCATTCAGTAAAAAAAAGCCAGATTGAAATACTTTTGGCCTCGTATGGCAACTGATATTTCTGAGTATGTTAAGAAATGTAGTGTCGCATGCAACATAAAGGTAATGCTAATGGTCCTAATCCAATCCAAGTATATCCAACTACTAGCGAACCGTGGGAAAGAGTGCGCTAGATTTGTTAACTAATTTCCAATGTTCCCTCCAAGGCAACAAACATCTGTGTGTTTATGGTAGACCATTTCACCAGATATGTGAGTTAGTTCCTATTGCAGATAAGACTGCCGAGACAGTAGCTAAAGCGTTTAAAGAACGCATTATCTGCAGGCATACCACCCCCTAAGTCCCTAGTAACAGATAATGGAGGTGGAATTCTGTAATGAGATTTTTGAAAATTTGTGCACCTTGTACAAGATCTCTAAAACCACCATTGTTCCTCATCATCCTGCCAGCAATGGGTAGCAGAACCCAACCAATAAGAAAGTACTTGATGTCTTGAGAGCCACTATCAATCCCAAAAGTGAAACTTGGGATGAAGTTTTTACCTGATGTGCAGTGTGCTATAAATTCTGCTACAATGTTTCTATAGGTGACACTCCACATTAGCATTGTACGGTGTAGATAAAAAGTTAGCCTTATGAGTTGTTATATTCTAAACCAAACCATTACAACCCTGATGATTCATAGCAACTCGTACCAGCTTAGCTCAAGTGTTTTTAGAAGAATCCGTGAAACACTTCATAAAATCAACAGCAGAATTTACAAGAGTTGCAAACACTCGAGCAAAGCCATCCAAAATCAAATAGGTTCGAGAGTTATGCTGATTAACTTTAACAAAACGTCCCGCAATGCCCAAAGCTTGATCAAAAGTTTTTGGTCCTTATCGAGTAGTTTTAACATATCACTGGTAATAAGTATAAGGGTTTGAGAGATTAGTACTGGGGCAGTATAAAGAATCGCATTTAGATCATATGAAGTTAGTATGTGATGATAATGATGTTCCAACCCAGACTAATGTGACAGACTCTGACAATCCTCCTGATCCTATACTCTCTTCCTCGATACTCAGTCAGACATCAACCGAATGTCGTTATTCCCTACGTACACGACAGGTATTGAGAAATCCTCAAGTATCATTTGTACATCCAATTCAGATTTGCCCCCAAATACGCATGAGTTAGCCAATGCAACAGAGTTTGATCCTCCCAGAGATGACACCCATTCTGCATATGTCAATCTCACCCTAGCAGAGTTGGGGTTTTAAAAGTAAATAACCTGTATAATGAATAATTACAGTATCAACTTATCAGTATTCAAGAATTTTTTTTTTGTGTTCATGTTCTCTCCGCATTCTGAGAGTTAACAGTCTAGATTTGAGTGCACCGAATCTGCCTTTCTGTTAAACCTTTCTTTGTATATATTCCTTCCTCAGAATCCGTAGATCACACGAATACAGATCGATCGATCAAATTTTTTTTTATCACTTATTGTGTAATCTCAACGTTGGGTTTCTTTGATGAGTTGTGCTATATTATACCTTGTATTGCATTACAGTTTCAGTTACGTAAGCTTCCATTCCAATGTTCTACTTATGTATGTTATAATGTTTAATTGTTGTGTACTTTGACATTGTATAGAATCAGCCCAAGCCGTACACCTGCCATCTCTAGTTTGTATTAGTTGTATGTCGGGACGACATACGTTAGCGTCGCCGAGCTCTCAGTAGTAGTAACCAGTTACCAGTAACCAGTGTACCAGTAGTTGACTCATTACCAACCACCTCTGCCTGAGTCACTGTCTATTCATATTGTGCTGACCATAGCAGTATTCAAAGACCCCCTCACATATGGGTACTGTGGGCGGCCAGTCAGTGTTACGAGAGTGAGCAAGGAGACAAGGTTATGGCTGTAAGGGCGCTCCCCACATTATCTGTAATTATACGTACTACCAGCCTACGTGAGTATTACTTTACCCAATCCACGTGTTCGAACTCCCACATGATACCAGTCCCTGGACCCATTATGTACCTCTTTAATCTTTTGACTACCTCCCACAGGATGGGTATGAGGTGCATAATAAAGATGTTAAACTAACATAAAACATTGGATAAAGGCATGAGAAAAGTGAACTTATAATATACTAACTGATAAATCAATTTTAGTTTATCGAATCATGCATAATAAACTGTTTCCTTATGCACTGTTTTGCTTGATGTCCAAAGCCCCGGAACCTTTTGATTATTAAGTTATTACAACATATACAGCTTCTAATGAAAGATACATAAGCAAACACTAGGACATATTTATTAGGAAACGTTTCAGTCCTGGGACCGAAAATAAATATACAGTTTCTAAAATTAAAACATCTAGGCTATAATCAGCATACCACAGTCTTAACCAACTCACTCTCCTATTATACTAATAATAATCATAAAGACAACATCATTTGAAGTCAGTTTTTCACATGCCACAATCTACTGCCATAATTCGGGAAAATATTCCTACTATATGTCGCTTGAGATGCTGGGTTTTTAGGCAGGCACCTGGTGGGAAGAGTGGCACTCCTCTCACCTGGTGGGAAGAGTGGCATTCCTCCCACCTGGTGGGACGAGTGGCACTCCTCTCACCTGGTGGGAAGAGTGGCACTCTTCTCACCTGGTGTGACGAGTGACACTCCCAGAGGAGAAGTCCTCTAGCCCTAGACACAAGCCGTTCAAGCCTCATGACCGCGTTAAGGTGACCCAGCGTTCAAGCCTCACGACCGCGTTAAGGTGACCCAGCGTTCACGCCTCACCACCGCGTTAAGGTGACCCAGCATTCACGCCTCACCACCGCGTTAAGGTGATCCAGCGTTCACGCCTCACCACCGCGTTAAGGTGACCCAGCGTTCACGCCTCATCACCGCGTTAAGGTGACCCAGCATTCACGCCTCACCACCGCATTAAGGTGACCCAGCGTTCAAGCCTCTCCACCGTGTTAAGGTGACCCAGCGTTCAAGCCTCACCACCGCGTTAAGGTGACCCAGCGTTCAGATGGCAAAGCATCAATATTATAGTCACATAAATAGAACAAGAAATTTATTAATGAATAAACAGCATGTCTATGGACTACAAAAAAGTGTAAACTACACTCAAGATCAGTCGTAATGAACGACTGTCAGTTCATAAACAGAAGAATGGACAGGGACTCGACAGAGGTGCTGGCACGTAGTGGGTCCACTGCTGCACCATTAATCTGTTTATTCACATCTAAATTAATACAGAAATAATACAATATATGAATCAAGAGAAAATTATTGCAATGGGCATATTGTAAATTAAAGAAAAACACTAAGTAATATCTAGTCTTGTTCTTATTAGATTATATTAAATAAAAGGCACTTAACCCGTATGGGTTATACAGACTACTGAGATATTAGTGAGGTACCACAAGTACCGAGATAAAACTGAGGTACCACAAGTACTGAATTACTAGTGAGGTGCCACAAGTACTGAGGTACAAGTGAGGTACCACAAGTACTGAGATACTAGTGAGGTACCACAGATACTGAGGTACCACAAGTACCACTAATTTCCTCCATATATTTCTACTCTATATAAATTACCTGTCAGAATAAATAATAAATTATGTAACTATACCACCACAAAATACAAAAGTCTTCAGTATATTTTAAAATCTAAATAACTGTTACACAGTGTAAGAGGAGCCGAGTAGACAGAGGTTCTTCTCTCAATTATTTTCAAGTATTATGAAGAATTAATATTAGCCACTACATATCATGTTACAAATGGTTTATCATTTATGCATTGTTGCTGTAATTCGTGGCAAGGAAGGATTTCCTTGCTGAGAAATATTTTAGGGAATAAAAACCTATGAAGCTGTGTTAAATTATTCCCACACGCTGGAGAATACTACACTTGTTGGCGATGAACTTGATAATGTCATTGTCTGGGATGTGTGGGTCAAGAGTTCCACACACTATGCGGTAGAAGGTCGCTGTCTTCGGTCGCAGTGGCGATCCTGCTATACCTTGGCTCTGTGCCCCCAGAAGCATACCCGTACCATTTATTACCATACCCGTACCCGGGTCGTCATGTGTGCGTGGAGCTGCTGACGCTATGTACTTAGGAAGCGGTAAGGAGTAATAATTAAGAGGTAGACTTTGAAGAGCTGACGGGCGTAAAGAATCCAAAATGCGAACGCTTTCAGGAGGATGAAGATCGTTACTGGCATATGGGAAGTCACGTGCGCCTGCCAAGGATGATTTTAATCGGTCGTTGAGTGGAGAGTAGGGCGAGCCATGCTGTGTTACGGTGGAGGGCTGCATTGTAGATCTCGTCGCAACACCTGTGTCTTGCAAGTCTTGTTTCTTCCCATTATCGTGTGTATATTCAGTATCCAAAGTCTGAACAAGTGCAGCTGGTGGTTTTGAGGATATTAATGTATTACACCATGACCGTAGCTCCTTGTCATGTGAACATGTGTTACGTCCCGGGCACCTGTGTTTCCTTGTTCACTTGCCAGTGTGTCTTCAACCTCTACCTCGGGCAGCTCAGGAACTCCACCCGTCTTTGTGTTAATGATCGCTAGAATTTCTTCGTCTGGGATTGGAATGGGCCCTTTTAATGGTGTTTCTCGAAGGATAAAGTTCGGAAGCTTATCTTTGTTTTTAATTATTTGTTTTTCAAGTTTTTTAAATATATCTCTTGCCGAATCATTAGTTGGGTCAAGGAGAGCGCTGAAAACGTGTTCTGACCAAGGTATAATCACGGAACCATTTTTGATGTAACTTATGTAATCGTTAACGAACTCTGTTACATTCTTTGGAGTTAAAAATGAATTATCAACGTTTCTCTTTCGTCTTCCGGAAATGCCTGTAGCGATAAAAGGCAAGGCAACAGCAGTTGAGGCGCCCAAGGCCAGGGCAGTGGCCGCCAGCAGGGCACAGAGCTGTTGGCGAGGCAGTCGGTGACGCTGGAGGTACTGGTGGTGGCTGCACCCACCGTGGAGCTACTGGAGGCGGCGACCGGCTCGGCTGAAGGCTGGGCAATCACCGTCGCGTCCGGAGTAAGCCTCAGATCAAAATTTGTGAATTGCGGATTGTCTAGAGGGCTGCCAAGGGCTGGTATGTAAGGCTCATCCCCGAAATAGTTTGGCTCGTTTTCAGGATTCCTTATACCTGGTGATACCGGGTCATTTTGAAGATCTTGTTCCTGGTAAGGAATTGAGAGATTATGGAATGCATAGTTTTGATAATTTTGTGGAAGTTGTATAACATTATTGGAGGGAGCTGTTTGCCAAGCTGTTTGATCAGGGCTGATAGAACTTTGAAATCCTTCAGAATTAAAGGGTTTTACTCCAAAGGTAGACGGAGCGAAAGAAACTGGTGGTACTGGAGAACTTGTTAACTGGGAGAGATAGTCTTTTACTTCTAAGTCCTCACTGAGAGCAAGTTGTACCACACGGAGTAACTGACTGAGATCAGGGTGCGATAACTGCTGTGTGTTGCTGTCCCCATGGATTATAGAACTCTGTGGCGTGTAGGAGACAGGAGGCGTCTGAAATGGAGCCTGCCTTGTAACAGATGCAAACTTTTGGCCGTTGTTACTATTATTAGCATTTCCAAATATTACCGGAAAACTCTGGCGTATGTTATTCTCCACAGCACCATAACCGAGATTCCAAGTGGAGGATATGTTTTCTGGAGGAAAAAGTAAACTTCCAACGAAGCTTACGTCGGGCTCGTCATTCCGCCCCGCTAGAGTGCGAGAGTATAGAGGTTCACTACCAAGATGTGAGATGATGCTGCTGTCCACATTTTTATCTGGTTGTGTTGTATTCTTGTGTGCAAGTGGCAATCTTTGGTGCCAAATACTAGTAACTGGCTCAACTCCGGTAATTAGATAATCTTCTCTTATCTTTGCCGTAAGTCTACCCCGTTCTTTTTCATTTTCCAGACCTTGAAGCTGCATTGGCTTGCCGATCCTTTTACTAGCTTCATGCTGTTGTTCAACCATGTGATAATTGTGTTTTTCTGGCTCCGTTAACAGTGCTGATAAAGAGTATACTTCAGAGGTTCCAGGATCCTTCTCCTCCCTAGATGCCAATAGTTGACTCTCTTTTGGAAGAAATATCGGGATGAGGGGAGTGGCCAAGGGTAATGGAGTAGAGAGTGGAAGGTGTATATGCCCTTGATGATGACTGTGATAATGGTTCTGGTGTTGTTGGTCCTCTTGTAGTAATTGTATCGGGGACACCTCGCCGTGGCCCTCTTGCTCTAACATTCTAGACGACTCCTCGCCACTCTTCAGGGAGCCCTCTGTAGTGACTAGCCTTAATTAATACCATGTACATTATATATATATATTATATATATATATATATATATATATATATATATATATAATATATTTTATATTATATGTATATATATATATATATATATGTATAATATATATATATATATATATATATATATATATATTTTATATATATATATATATATATATATAAAAATATATATATATATATATAATGAAATTCTACTTTATGTATGAGGTAACAGGAAAGATTTCGTTTATTAAAAATCCAACGTTTCGGTGATCATTCATCATCATCAGGATCTGTAAAATATTATAATAATATAAAAAACACCAAAAAACAAATTTCCTACAAATTAAAATAATGACATAAGCTAAAATAATACAAGGACTAAAAATAACGTACTGATGAGGGTATTGTTGCCCCGGGTGGAGGCAGGCAGCTACTGACTGCATATATTCTGTACACTACATTAAACGAGGTGTTCAATTGCCTCCCAGCGTACATAAGGGGGATTACCAACAGACCCCTGACTGTCTTCAAGAAGGCACTGGACAGGCACCTAAAGTCAGTACCTGACCAACCGGGCTGTGATTCATACATCAGCTTGCGTGCGGCCAGCAGCAACAGCCTGGTTGATCAAACCCTGATCCACCATGAGGCCTGGTCTCATACCGGGCCGCGGGGGCGTTGACTCCCGAAACCCTCTCCAGGTAAACTCCAGGTTAACTAAATTACGTAACTTACACAGGGGGGACAACTGTTTCACCATGAATAATCCAACTGCTGATACAGTCTAAAATACAGACTAAAATTCTTAAATCTAACCTATTCTGAGCATTTTATTTTTAAGTGACTAACACGTAGAATATGATGGCTAGGCTAGGAATATAATCTCTTAGCTGACATGGGAAGTCGAGCTAGATTAATATGGGTCCTGTGAGTAACAAATGCATAAGAATGTTGTCAAAACTTTAATCTCCGTATCAAAACAGACCAATTTGAGCACAATTATGATTAATTATGAGTTTTTTTTAAGCATTTTCTTTAAACAAGGTACTAACAAAGGATAAAAAGTAAGTCAGATCTGTACCCGTTAATGTAGCCGTCATGGGATCTTGTTACAAAGAATTCTTAAACACTTGTTCAACCTTTGGACGAAGACCTACTTCGACTAGTGGATGGTACCACTATGACCCCTCCTCCGCCTGCTTCACCTCACATCTCTACAGTATATAAGCCACGTCTACGGCCCTATGCTGTACATTCTACAAGATTGATGGACTGAACACATCGACTCCAGGTTGAGGGACTGATTACCTCATTCTCCTCCTCTCCTTATGCCTTCCTCTTTGTATTGGACTGAAGAAGCCACTGTGTGGCGAAACGTTTCCTGAATAAAGATTCCCATATGCTGCATAAGTGTCTCAATCTTCAAGTGTCTCAATCTTCAATGTAGCCGTCCTGTATTCTATGCTGGTTGTCAGTATATATGAAGGATACATGTACTGGTTCAGGTCACAGGATATTTACACTGAGAGGTGTATTACTCTAGCGTACATGTGCTGAGAGTTTTCTTTAATACCCATTTTAGAGATTGCTGGTGACAATGTTGCACGCAGCCTTTGAATGATCTTAATGTTGTTAATAAACTTTAAAACACATTTACTAACCTGATTCAAGTATATATATGCACCGAAACGTGAATGTCTTTCAGTTTAAATATGCTAAAAGCTTACTTTAATATCCAATTAAGGATAAAAGTATTCTTGATTGGTGAAAGGTATTATGCAATTTTATTGAGAGTAGTCAATAGATTTTACGTTCAATTAACCAAGTAACCATGATGTAGGTCTGAATGTATTATCCTTCTTGTCTACCTTGTACTACCATTTTAACAGTGTATAACACTATACGTATAATGTTATAGAAAATAATTGCAGGGTAGGATTGCCTACCTGAGTGTCGAAGGTCATCCGGGTGAAGTGCTGATGGTGACTCAGCCAGGGTGGTGACATCAGCAGCTGAAGCCACGGAGTTGCTGACTACTGAGAATGAGGTCAGTATGAGACAGGTCAGCAGAGTCAAGCCAACAAGGGATCCTGGCCACAGGTCACCTTCCAGCGTCCAGCGCCGCATCCTGTCACAGCTTGAATATAAGAAGGGAGTCACCATCAGACAACCTTATTTCTACTCACTATAAACACACTATTTGATGAGGAAAATTCATATGTAATGGTCACTCCTTGACCATTCTTAAGAGGCGCCTAAGTTCCCTAGTCTTCTAATAATATGTTCATTTTTCCACTATAATCTACCTTGTCCATAATTACTATCGCATTTGCTTTGTCTGTTTCGTAAGGTGAAGTCTATGATGTTTCCTTAATTCATGGAATAACTTAACAAATCTCTGAGCAAAGCTCAAACCTCTGCAACACCAGGAAACGGTTTCTAGATACTACTGTAATTGATATGAAGCGCTGAATACTTTTGGATCAGTCTACACAAGGAGTGGTGGAGGCTTCAGCCTTTGTCCGCAGATGTCTAGATCGCTGCTTTACTAACTGTACTCGCGTATTGTAAGAGAAGTTGGCAGACAGGCGCTACCTCAGCTTGTCTAGATAATAACATGCACTCAGTCTTTGGCTCACATACAGCCGCCGTTACCTACAAGACCTGTGATACTATGAACGAATATTTCAATCTTGAGGTATAAGGATAAAATTAGGTGACTATTTTTGCGAGATTTATGCAATTACGTAATTAGATTTTAAATTATACAATATTAATTTATTCTACCTTATATATATATATATATATATATATAATATATTTTATATATATATATAATATATATAATATAAAATATATAAACACTGATCTCTGGCTGAAGGAGACTCGAACCTACGAACCTTAGGACAAGGTACGCAGTGCTTTACCAATCTACCCACACTGGACCAATACCTTGGCGTGTAGCATGAGCTACACGTTTGATCCAAGGCAGCCAGCTTTCAGGGAGAAGGCTTACAGCTTTTCATCTCATCCCCTGCATGCATCAGCCTTACTAGAGATTTGAACAATGCAGGAAATTCGCGAGAGCATGCGAAATATACACAAACACTGATCTCTGGCTGAAGGAGTGTTTGTGCTTTGTGTATATTTCGCATGCTCTCGCGAATTCCTTGCATTGTTCAAATCTCTAGTAAGGCTGATGCATGCAGGGGATGAGATGAAAAGCTGTAAGCCTTCTCCCTGAAAGCTGGCTGCCTTGGATCAAACGTGTAGCTCATGCTACACGCCAAGGTATTGGTCCAGTGTGGGTAGATTGGTAAAGCACTGCGGTCTTCTGGTAGCGGGTGGTTAAATGATATACGTCTTCGGAGACTTCTTTGTTTATTGTTAAGTCGTTGTGGGTACACAGGCTTGTGTGTTGTGCCCATGGCCCGGGAGGGCCATGCCCACGAGAGAGAGCTGGGAGGCCTTGTGTGTTGATGCCAGGCCGCTGTGTGAGAGTGAGGGCGAGGCAAGTCTGGGCATACTGAAGTGGCAAGGCCTAGGTGGCAGCACCAGCATAGCGCGAAATATGAACTAAGCTGGCAGACAGCATGGGCTGTCTGTGCAGACAGTACAGGCTGTCTACATACGCTCGGCCACCTACCGCGCGTCGTCCCGACGCGACAATACTGGTAGTAAAAGAAACTCTGTCTCTCTCTCGTAGGAACAGGGCACAGAACACAAAATAAAAACATATATATACATATGGACATGGAAAAAAAAACTTCCTACAGGGAGGGAAGAAAAAAACGTGGGGTGTGCAAAACATCGTGGTCATAGGCAGTGAGCGTCGATGGGCATCACTGCATGCCTTCCTGCATCTGGACAGATACTGCAACACAGGAGACATCGCTGCGGCTGAGCTGTGACGTAACAGGGTACGGTCTCCTCTGGAACGGTGAAGCAGACATCGTAGGAGTCGCTGCAGGTTTTCACTCAACCTGGGGCACGACATGCTGGTGCCCTCGAGTGAGGCATCGACAAAACTCGGCAACTGGGCAGGACTTCTGGCAAGCGACTCAGGAGGACACTTCTCAACTGGTACTGTCGCTGGGCTGTCACTGCCGGCGAGCGTGGAGTGAGTTGTGGAGCGAGTCGTGGCAGAGACGACTGGGCGAAACATCTGGGAGTCGTAACATCATACACCAGACTGCAGTGAGAGAGCTAGCAGTCAAAGTGACATCATCTTTGTGCAGGTTGCTCACTGAAGCTTGTGACACGAGGCTGACACAGCGCCTGCCGACAGGGCTGACTGCGGCTTGGCGAGTATCATCTCTCGACAGTTGGAGTTATAGCAGAGGTTAGCCTAAGCGTCCCCAGACTTGTTTCTCTACATATAACTGCACTCTGATGGTCTGGAGGTGAAGTGAAACAAATCTCGATGGGAATCGTAGCAGGTACGATTCTGCAGAACATCACGAGCGACGAGCATAAAAGCTTTCTGTACAAGAGGGCTCGTACGCTCAGGGCTGAGTAATCAGCTGTCAAACACACTGGTCACACGGGTGGCTTAACACAGTGGTTCTACTCAGGTCTGGCTCAGACCTTACTGGACACACGGAAACTTTAAAAACACACTGCTGTACATACTGTACACTAACATGTGAGAACACTGACTGAGAAGGATTAATTAACACACGACATATTTTCTCTCGATCTTCTCGACAATACTGAAATAATTACTAGAAACACTCGATGTGACATCATGTGATGTCAGGCGTGATGTCGCAAGGTAACATCAGCAGCACTGACGTCAGCAGACATCTCGAGGTGACGTCAGCAGACATCGTGAGGTGACGTCAGGCAGACATCGTGAGGTGACGTCAGCAGACATCGTGAGGTGACGTCAGCAGACATCGTGACATCATGAATTCGGGCAGCATCGTGGGTGACATCAATGTGATGCGGGCAGCAGACCACAGCATGTGGCCTGGGATATCTGGTAACTCACGTGGCTTTGTAGGTCTACGTGACATCGGCCACACCCAATGTGGTGTCGATCCACGTGGTGTCGTGATCTACGTGGCATGCTGATCCACGCAGCTTCGAGTGGCCTCGGGCACTCGGCGACGAATCACACGAAAAACAGCAGAAAACACAGCAGAGGGAGTGAGTAGTGTGAGTGGTGTATGGTAGTGTGGTGGCGAGGAGCGTGGGTGAGTGCATGGCGGGGCGAGCATCTAGCCATTCCTCCTCCTCCTCCACCCACAAACACGTGGAGAAGCTCACACTGGACGCAGAAATCACCACAAAACTCACCTCTGGCTTGCTGAAACAGCTGTGCTGAGCTGAACAACAACAACAGCATACAAGTGACGCTGAACACGTGACTTGGGAAACAACGTGGGACACTGTAGCGTGGAGTCACTGGGACGCCACATACAATTCTCGAAGAAATTCGGCAAATTTCGGCTGGATCCTGCTTGTACCTGTGTCTGGGTGCTCAAACGTGCAGACACGACATCAGGATAACTCGTTGAGAGACGGATGCTTCTTGTGTAGGGTGATGAAGTGAAGATGACTTCATACCTCTTCCTCCCTCTCTCCAGGCAAACACAACTGCTGCGAGCACCGCTGTCACCATTTATAACGAGGTTATTTGGTAGGTGCTAGCGGGGTGTGAATGATACGTCTTCGGAGGCTTCTTTGTTTATTGTTAAGTCGTTGTGGGTACACAGGCTTGTGTGTTGTGCCCATGGCCCGGGAGGGCCATGCCCACGAGAGAGAGCTGGGAGGCCTTGTGTGTTGATGCCAGGCCGCTGTGAGAGTGAGGGCGAGGCAAGTCTGGGCATACTGAAGTGGCAAGGCCTAGGTGGCAGCACCAGCATAGCGCGAAATATGAACTAAGCTGGCAGACAGCATGGGCTGTCTGTGCAGACAGTACAGGCTGTCTACATATATATATATATATATGTCGTGCCGAATATGTAAAACTGGTCAATTAGCAAGAACTCATTTAAAATTAAGTCCTTTCTAAAATTTTCTCTTATACGTTTAAGAATGTATTTTTTTCATTAATGTTAATGTATTATTATTATTATTATTATTATTATAATCAAAAAAGAAGCGCTAAGCCACAAGGACTATACAGCAATGTTAATGTAAAATTTTTTAATTTTGCTCCAAAAGAATCTTAGAAAGCTTACCTAACCTTATTATAATAAGAACAATTTATTTTAGCCTAACCCAACTAAATATACTTTAGATTTATTTACAATAATTTAATACTAAACAAACACGGTGAAATACATTTTTTTCGTTAGGTTCAGAATGATTTTGGCGAAGTTATTGCATACACAAATTTTCGTTTGTCTTATATGGCAAGATGAGCGTTGCTATTTAAGCCAAGATCGCAAGTTCTGCCTATTCGGCACGACATATATATATATATATATATATATATATATATATATATAATATATATATATATATATATATAATATATATATATATATATATATAATATATAATATATATATATATACATATATATATGCAATACCTTTTTTTTAGCTATCTTTTTATTTGGATTGATAAAGACACCAGTGGTGAAACGTCTTCAAAAATGTCTTGATTGTGCATATGAGTCTTATTCCTACAATGTGTGAGCATTAACACGCTTGTAACTGTATAATCTCCCCTGACTATTTACCCCTCCCCATTAATATATTCATGTGAAAGCTCTAAAACCATAGGGTGCACACGGCTCTTAGGGAACAGCAGATTATCAGGTGTGATCCAAGGACAGGGGAAAGTAGCTATAATTCCTTGGATCAAGAGCCTTTGAGAGACACCCCTCCCTGCTTTGTCATTCCCACCAAAATCCTGGCAAATGAATAATTGACTCACTTTTAAAGACGGAGGTGGTGTTGAACGAAGGCAAGCACTTTTGATGTCAGTCACAAAAACATGTGTACATCTCTTTGTCAAAACCAAAATAGTGAGAACATTATCCAAATCACATCACTCTTATAGTTGTGGCGCTTATTCTTGAGTGGCACTGAAGAGTATGCGCTACATACACTGCTGGCCTCACCACATATTACACAGCCACAGTGGTCAAGGAGCGTGTGATCAGTGGCAGCAACTGTTGTAGAGAGCTGCAGTACAGCGTTGCTCTGGTGGCCAGGTAGTGGCTAAGCAGGACGGGTCCCAGTAGCACCAGTCATGGCTGCAGTTGGGGGTCCTACCAGCTATAGCTACACTGGGAAGTTCCACCAGTCATGGCTGCACTAGGGGGTGGAGGAAGATCTAATAGTCATGTCTACACATCCAGGCCCGGGAGAGAAAGCCAAACTAACGGCACACTAACTGAAGCATCAGCAACAGCAGAACCACGTCTGGTCCAGGCCATACTCGCCATCATCACCCAGGTGTGACTACTTAACGCTAGTGTGTTGAGTCAATACACCTTGCTTCTTATCGTCACCCAGATATTATTACTTGTACTAGAGGTGAGGGAAGATATGGGAGAGGGGATGACAGACTCCCCATGTTTTGAAGGTGGCAAGATGTTACACAAGTTCTTGCCACTTTTTTTTTTTTTTGAGAGGTAGTTTACAATCAGGTCTCCAGTTAGACCGAAACATTTGCGTTATTTTTATACTGCTAAATGTAGGTTATTCTTACAAACTGAGAATGTGGTTATATATATATATATATATATATATAAAATATATATATATATATATATATATATATATATATATATATATATATATATATATTAATAAATATATATATAATATATATATATATATATATATATATATAATATATATATATATATATATATATATATATATATAAATATATATATATATAATAATATATATATAATGTGCCGAATAGTTAAATTGGTCAATTAGCAAGAACTCATTTAAAATTTAAGTCCTTTCTAAAAATTTTCTCATACGTTTAAAGATTTTTTTTTTTGGTTGAAGATTGAGACACTAATGTAACATATAGGAATCTTTATTAAGGAAACATTTCACCATAGTGGAAAAGGGTAAAGAGAGGAGGAGTCTGAGATAATCAGTCCCTCAGCCTGGAATCGATGTGTTCAGTCCATCACTTGTAGAAAGTACAGCATAGGGCCGGAGAAGTGGCTTATATACTGTAGTCAGGTGAGTGGAAGTAGGAGGAGGCGGAGTCACAGTGGAATCTTACACTGCTGTAAATAGGTCTTCGTCCAAAGGACAAGTATTGAAGAATTCTTTGTATCAAGTTCCCATGATGTTGCAGTGTCTGACACATGTGATAATTGGTTTGAAAACCCACAAGTTGAAGATTGAGACACTTATGCAACATAGAGGAATCTTTATTAAGGAAACGTTTTATCTGATTCATCCAAGGACTGACTGTTCAACTGCGATAATATTTTCTTCTTGTTTAAATTGTGGTTGGAGACTCTTTCAATGAAATTTTCACAGTGCACAATGTGGAAATCAAAGACTTTTTCAAAATAGGTTTGTTAATGGGACTGAAAGCCTATCGACTATACCATGGTCACTAAGGATGCACTGTAACCTTTTTCACCACCAGACAAGAATACTTCACTCCTTAAAATAAAGAATAACCAAACTCTTAGAATATATATACACAGAGAAATAGCCCGTGTCAGAAAGGAGAGAGTAACTCGAGAAATAAAAACCTTCAACTTGATAAAAGTGATACCAGGACAAAGCAAAACGTATCTCTTGCAGACCAAGCAAATAAAATAACAACAATCTCAGTATCTAGAACTCAAAGTGGTGAAGTTAATTTTCAACACTTGGAAGCGAGGCTGGGCCACAGCTGTTGTTTACTGGTAATGAGTAAATCAATGTGTGTTAACGGTGACTGCTGTAGCGTAGCACCCGTTGCTTACCCCGTTATTCACTCTATCTTCATGCTGCACATAACTAACATATTGTTTCCAACAAATTATGAGACCAGAATATCCCCTGCTGCCAGATGATATACCAAAAAAAAGGCACAATACCGTGACTGGAAGAATACATAAATAACCCGGCAATGAGTAGGTTATACTGGATATAATTTCGTTATTTCCGGCTAATTTAGGATAATATGGATTAACCTAACCAACTCTAGCTAATGTTTAATTTTCTGTGTTGGTTAGAGGGTTGAAAAATGACGTCCGTAAAAACGTTTCAAAAAACTGGTGTCACTTTTATACTGGTTGCTTGATTTTTTTTCTTCATTCAAGGTTTTCATTTATAATTTGAGAATGCCTCATTCGATCGGTTTAATTTTTTTTTTCACTAAGGTGTGCTGTAAATAAGTTGAGGTTCCTGGAACGATTGGCATTTTAGGTGATTTCTAGAATCTTATATACAATATTCGCTAAACTGGTCTTCGTGCATTATCTGGAGAATGTCTCTTCATATTGGCATCAAACTTTCAACACTGGTCTATCCTACTTGGAAGTAGGTTGAAATTATTACTACAGAATGTAAGTGTTAATTAAGACGCCAACTTTATCTTTACCATGGCATAACATTATTTTCCGTGATAAAACTTGAGTAAGCCTTTTCTGAGCGTCTCCAGTCTAAAATGGTTGATGTATCATGTAGACAGGATGGTAGCTCGTAAGTTTAACATCTGTTGATGCATATTTACTAATTTCCATATAGTTAATGTACTTGGAATCGTTGGATTTTGAGCAATAACTGGAGAATAATTCTTCAGATGAGCCTCAAGCTTTTAGTGATGGTGCTTTTTAGGGAGTGTTTACATTGATTTGTGGCTGTATAAGTTTTTATTTGTCAATGTTGTTAAACTTTTTTTATGGAATGACTGGAGAATGCCTCGTCTGATCGCTTGAAACCCTAAAATCTAATGTATCATGATTAAATAATTTTTTGGATTGATTTCGGGCAGTGTAAGTGGCATTTCACAAATATTGTCAAAGGAATTGTGATAATTGAAGTACTGGTTTTCATTTAATAATTTGTGAATGCCTCATATGATCGGCTTCAAACCTTCAGCACTGATGTCTCTTGCTGAGAGGAGGTTTTGATTTGTAATTAAATAGTGTGCATGCCAGTCTGCCAAATTTTACTTCCTCAGCTGTCCTGTCTACTAGCTCATAACATTAGCATTGTTGATCGGAGCTAGATTGGTAGTGATTGGGAGACGACATGGGAATTGGATAGAATTAAACAACAAAATAGGATGTTATGTAGGGAGGAATAGAAAAAAAGGAATTAAATGGCCATGCGTTTGTATTTAGAGCGGATAATTGTTGGTGAATGTTTGTAGAGAGTGCTTGCTCTTCAAGACATTTATTTATATTGTAGTTAATCCAGGGATTACTTTGTTCTTAGATGCTGCTTGTCTGTCTTGCTCACTGCTGGTGACTGAGGCCGGGTACTGCAGCTGATGCTAATGCTAATTTTCTCCATTTCGTTTTAATCACGGGGAAGCACTAAAACCATAGAGGTCATACAGCGCCTGGGTGGCATTCAGGTTTAGTCTGAAGAAGGGGAGGATAAGCCGATTCCTTGGATCAAGAGCCCCTTCACCGGCATCCAGGATTGTTGTGTAACAGCGAGCTGCTTACTAACGTTAATGTAGTATCCAATTTTTTTTTTAGTAATGCATGCACATAAACATATATTCTAACAGCATATACATCCATATTATATATATATATATATATATAATATATATATATATATATATATATATATATATATATATATATATATATATATATATATATATATATATATCTCATACCTTCATATTTTTAATGATCCTACGTCTTTATTCTATCTTTGTCTCTAAGATTCACCTTCGCAACAAATCTCAATACTTCGTTGTGTACTACATGCTGATAAGAGACATAAGAATATCAAAAACAACTAATTCCGATCACAATCTAATCGAAGTCCAGACGTACATGCATAGGGGTCCTGAACAACAGAATGCATGTACCTGTGAAGGTACAACAACAAGAACATCAACTGGGACCAGGTAAACCATGTCCTAAACGAAACATGTTGGGAAGATGTCTTAAATGACATGGATCCAAACCAGTGCCTTGAAAGGATCAACTTCCTGATAGCCGAAGCATGTTCTAGGCATATTCCCCTAAGAAAGAAGAAGAGCAGGAGTAAACTGGAGAGAAAAAGACGCTCCCTCTACAGAAGACGACGAAGAGTCACTGAGCTCCTCAGGAGTGCTAGAATATCTGATACACGAAAGGAGGCGCTGACCAGGGAAGTGGAAACTATCGAACTTAAGCTAAATGACTCTTACAGGAACCAGGAGAGGCAGGAGGAGCTTAAAGCTATTAGTGAAATTGAAAGAAATTCAAAATATTTCTTTTCATATGCCAAAAACAAGGCAAATACCACATCTAGTATCGGGCCCTTACTCAGACAGGATGGGACTTACACAGACGACAACAAGGAAATGAGTGAAATATTGAAATCCCAGTACGACTCTGTGTTTAGTGAACCACTAATCGGTCTGAGGATCGACGACCCAAATGATTTCTTTATGAATGAGCCTCAAAACTCCATAAATGTATGCCAGATTTTCGACATTACCCTAACTCCGATAGATTTCGAAAAAGCCATTGACAACATGCCTATGCACTCAGCCCCGGGCCCAGACTCGTGGAACTCTGTTTTCATTAAGAACTGCAAGAAACCCCTCTCGCGTGCCCTAAGTACACTATGGAGGAGGAGCTTGGACATGGGTGAAATTCCACAGTCACTTAAAACAACGGATATAGCCCCACTCCATAAAGGTGGCAGCAAAGCATTAGCTAAGAACTATAGACCAATAGCTCTGACATCCCACATCATAAAAATCTTTGAAAGAGTGCTAAGAAGCAGGATTGCAAATCACCTGGATTCCCCAAATCTGCACAATCCAGGGCAACATGGGTTCATTGCAGGTCGCTCCTGCCTCTCACAACTACTGGATCACTATGACATGGCCTTGGATGCACTGGAAGAAAATCAGAATGCAGATGTAATATACACAGACTTTGCAAAAGCATTTGACAAATGCGATCATGGTGTAATAGCCCATAAAATACGTGCTAAAGGAATAACTGGGAAAATGGGGAGATGGATCTTCAACTTCCTAACAAATCGAACACAAAGAGTAGTGGTCAACAGAGTTAAATCGGAGGCTGCCATAGTGAAGAGCTCTGTTCCACAAGGCACAGTACTCGCCCCCATCTTATTCCTTATCCTCATATCAGACATAAACAGAGATATACACCACAGCACCGTATCATCCTTTGCGGATGATACTAGGATCTGCATGAGGCTGTCATCTGCTGAGGACGCGGTTAACCTCCAAGAAGATATAAACAAAGTTTTCCAGTGGGCAACGGTAAACAATATG